ACCAACGGCCCTCATGGCAGCCACGCTCGAAGAAGAATGAGAGAGGAGAGTGAACGTGAAAAAAATAAATAGAAATATATTTCAATGAGAAATGGGTCCATTTTTGGTGCCTAGAAACAATTGTATTTTTTCAGTCATAATCCATTTTTGGTGCAATTAAGTTAAAAATATGTTATATTTAAGTTGTTCCGATCCTCGTACAAAATAAAATCAGATTCTTTTAAGCAAGTTTAGTATACTAGACAAATGATCCCATAGAATGATTCTAATTCATCGTCCTAAGACGTTTTCTATCAAAATCTGGATTTGAAACGATTCAAAAAAAAATCTAGATCCGTGCGAAGCATACAACAAGTGTGGTGATGCATTACGTGGCATGCATGACTGTACTTGTGTGGCAGCCACCAAGTCACGTCTTCGGACAAGCCGTGCACTTTACTCCAATTGCAAACATGAGAGACAAAAACAGCCCATCTGAATTCAGGGCTTGGGACCAAAATAGATTTTCGTTTTCGCCTCACCGTTTCACCAAACCATCATTACTTGAATTCTGTCCATCAATAAGAATAATAACAACGAAACAGAATCATCATAAACCACCTCATGGATATGCATGATGCGTGGCACTGGCACGATCGACCTGAAGGCAGAGCAGAACAGATACGAGATGAAATTAGCAAGTTGGGCCCCCAACACACATGGAGATCTACATGCCACCAGACATGCAACATCCATCTTATTAATCGGGATTAGTACTTGTCTTTACAAGAGCAAATCATGACCAATGAGTAAGGCTGAAGGGTGTAACAGAACGATCTGACCTGACAGGGGCCTGATGGAGTCACTTTTTTCATTTCTGCTCGGGTGGCCTTGTCGTCTGAGATCGGCTCGCTCCTCTTTTATATATTTAATAGAAGGAAAAAGTCCAAATTACTCTCCTCAAGTTTGGCATATGTCTATATTACCTCCTAAATTTACATTTGGTTTAATCTACTCCCTCCAACTATTTCAGTTGGTCTAGTTTACCCCTTAACATGATTTGTTATTTTTGTTTTTCCACGTATTAGTTGAGTCTTAATATCAACTTTTGTGATATGATAGAGAACATCTCCTACAACTAAAAAGAACCAAACATGGACACTTTTTTGTGCGACATTCTAACGTGGGTCCATCGTCCTGCCTACTGCGTTCCCGCATCCGTTGCTTCCTCGGTCTGCCTTCCCCTGCGATCCCCTGCCTCTCGCCGCGCGACCGCGTCCACGCCACAGAAGGAAAGCCTGATCTGCACGATCACCGCGAGTCCACGCCGCACAATCACCGCACGAGACATCGGTGAAAAAGGAAACCGAACCTCCAATCTCCTCCGCTCGAAATCCCATCGGCCGCCGTCCTCGCCATCGCCCTCGCCCGGCCTTAGGCCAAGCAAGGCACACACCGTGTAAGCTGCCTTTTGACGGATAGGGATCTCGCCACTGGGGCTCTGGACTTCTGGAAAGACTCCAACCGGTATCCGAGTAAGATCGCGCAGCTCTAGCCTACGATGATCTAGCATTTTGAATTCTTAATGCAACATAGCTCCAGCCTACGATGATCTGCGTGCAATCCCATGATCCTAGCTGCATCCCATGTGCGGCATGCCATCCCCACGCACGCTATCCACCCCTGCACACTATGTGGCCGCATCTCAGCATGCATGGCAGACCGTCTCAATGTGGAAGAAAGCTGGTGGTAGTAAGACTGAATTCTATCTGAGATCACACTGGTGGCAGTAAGATTGAATTTTGTCTAAGATCACTGTATGCTGCCCGGTTTTAACGGACATGCCATGGATGTCGTGCTCAACTGCTAGGCGGCCGATGCGCACGCCATTCGGCAATGACTCAGTTGGATGATGCGCTGGCCGTGTGCACCCAGTATAGTGGATGGGGGGCCAACGATGGACGAACCCCGTACAAAGGCAGATTGCTGCCAACAAGGAAGATGACAAGGGAAGCGACCGTGTAAGCTGCCTTTTGACGGATAGGGATCTCGCCACTGGGGCTCTGGACTTCTGGAAAGACTCCAACCGGTATCCGAGTAAGATCGCGCAGCTCTAGCCTATGATGATCTAGCATTTTGAATTCTTAATGCAACATAGCTCCAGCCTACGATGATCTGCGTGCAATCCCATGATCCTAGCTGCATCCCATGTGCGGCATGCCATCCCCACGCACGCTATCCACCCCTGCACACTACCTCATGAATTGCATTGAAATTTTGCTAGCCTCCTATAACTATTTGTGTTTTAGAAATGGTGAGTAGCTTTGTTGCAATTTCAAGATCTGGGACTTCTCAAGTATAATGGTCTCATTATACTATGCTAGAATTATAGTATGTTCATTACAAGTCTTTTGTATTGAATTAAAAAATTGCCTACATCTTATTGAGTTACTAATTGCATATACTAATGGAACAATGTTTAAAAGCGTCAAAGGCATACTAAACCAGATCATAATTCAATACTAGAGGCATATGGTTGAAGACATGTTATATTATCTAAAATATGAAGAAGGGTGGCCTTCCAGTCCTGTATGAAGCAAACTGATAATTTAGAGAGATGGTTAGTTCTAAAAGGTTGAGGAGGAGGAGCAGTCTTGTTACGGTAACAATACAACACATTCATGCTCAAATTATCAGGGCATTATTTATTCCCGTTGTAACGCACAGAAAGGTATATACAGTATAGTTGGTGAGCCTACGACGCCGCGCTCTATATGACTGTGTTAATTTCACGAACTTTGCTTTTTGGATTAAATATCACGTTAACATCGGTATTTAATTTCACAATATTCTTGTCTTATCGTGCGATCCATGTGCTTTTAGTATAAAAGTTTAGTTGTCTCGTAGCAACGCACGAGCACGCTACCTAGTTATAAGTTATGTTAGAAAAATATATCTTAACTTTTTGCCACTGTTTTGATAGCTTAGGAAATTTAATAATAAATTAACACTAGAGATACAATATCGTATAAAACATAATGATGAAAAATTCATAGTGCATTTTTCTAACACAAAATACAATGTCCTCTATCACCTCACAAAATTTGAAACTAAAATATAATTTGTATACAGAGAAACAAAAAAGAAAAATCTCTTTAAGGTATTGATTGGACCAACTTAAATAGTTGGAGGGAGTAAATTGAATCAAATGTTAGTTTAAGGGTTATTTGGACATAGACCAAATTTGGAGGGAGTAATATGAATTTTTTCCTTAATAGAAATATCAACTTAATTGCCAACTAGATCTCTTGGGCGAACGGGCCTGTGGTCCAGTGGTAGGCCTGTCCAGTGGGACGCTACCCACCAGGGTTGTGATCGCACCTTTTTCTGCAAAATTTTCAGAAATTTCAGGGTACACGCACGCATGCGCGTTCAGTGGTACTGCGCGTTTCCCGCGCATTGGAGGCGACGTTGCCTCCCAATCTCTTCTTTGCGTGTGTACGAACGCGCACGCGTGTTGTGTGGTGTGAGTCTGTAGGTTGTGTGCGTCTAAAGTTGTACCCGATCAAAAAAAAACTTTGATCTCTTGAGCATCACAGATAGCTATGCCTGCAATATATATGCCATACCGTAGTCCATAAGCGAAAATGATGAGTAACAAAAAAAATTGTTCTGTTTGACCTAACTAGGACATCTGTTCTCACATTAGCTGTGAGATTTGTCCTGAGCTGAGCTTGCCGACACCCTAAGGAAACAACCGACAAATTCATGAAGCCAGATTACAAGGCTGAGTTCCATAGCTTTAGAAAAGATGAGATGTCGCTAAATCCTGCACCCACTGTATTTAGTGGGACATGACAGAAATAAAATCTTTTTACATGCGATGAATATGCACAAATTGCTGACACTTTTTTTTTCATGCACTGATCTTCATATCCATAGCTTATGTTCCTCAAGAAGCAAAGGAGTGGGATATGTTAGTTCTACATATAAAATGGGTAAAAAGCTAAGGCCGTGCTCAGTTAATTCAATTCATGGATTTTGTTTGTTTCTTTGCGCATGAATTTTTAACTATGAAAAAACAGATATTGACTGCACAACTGATGATTATCAAAGAATGTCTATTCCTTATTTTCTCCTCCTACTTTGGTTACAAGCAACCCCTCTTGAATGACAGAAAAAGAGCAAAAAAGAAATACAGTTTTGGTTTCACTGCACTAGAAGCAACCAGAGGCTGTGAGCCTGTGAAGACACAAGGCTGCTGCAGGCACATAAATCTCTGGTTCACTGCACATGCTGTGGCATCATGGTATGGCCGTATGGCAGCATGTTCCAATCAAGCAGAGCAGAGATCCCCAGAACCGGTTCCACTCGAGGATCAAAGCAAGGCTCGTCAAGATTTAAGCTACCTACTACTAGTACTACCCGACTCCACGTCTCCACCTCACCTCTAGAGTAGAATCCGAAGATGAAAACCAAGCTGCCCTCTGGTTTTCACTTTCACACACCTGCACTGCATTCTCCTGCTCTGAAAACATGAAACACATCACACATCTCTCGTTCTCTCCCTCTCTAGCTCTCTTGTCTTTCTCTCTCTCTAATAATTGTCGCAAACTGTTTTCTGCCTCCTTTTTTTTGTCACCGTCAGTCCTCACTTGCGCCTGATTTTGCTTCGCCACTCCGCAAATTTCCACAACCACCACACCACAACATTTCCTCCTCCCCATTCCCATTCATGCAGGACCGGCCGACCCCCCACCTCGTATGCTCTCTTTCTCTCTCTCTCCTCACTCCCTGCCTGACACCGCCAACATTCCCTGCCCCCCCCCTAGCTGTGTCCTGCCTAGCGGTATCAATACCTGGCTGCAGCTCACCACCACCAACCACACGGCACACCACAGTTCCCAGTTCCCATATAACCATCGATCTGGCTGGGGGAGTTTGGAGTGCGGCTACACTATAGTATACCTCTAGCAGACTCGCCTCTGTAGGCAGTGTGTCGTTGCAGAGGAGGGGAAGCCATGGCGACCTCCTTCCAGGGAACGACCACCAAGTGCACCGCCTGCGACAAGACGGTGTACCTCGTCGACAAGCTCACCGCCGACAACCGCATCTACCACAAGGCCTGCTTCCGCTGCCACCACTGCAAGGGCACCCTCAAGGTACCACAACCTGCTTGGCTAGCTGCTTCAGTTGATCGATCTGTAAAGCTGAGTTATCGAGTGCGACGATGTGATTAATAGGCGGTGAAAGTTTACCAGCATTGATTTGTCTGAGGATGTTCTCTGCCGCAGCTTGCCAACTACAACTCATTCGAAGGAGTGCTCTACTGCAGGCCTCACTTCGACCAGCTGTTCAAGAGGACCGGGAGTTTGGACAAGAGCTTCGAAGGTATGATCAGTTTTTTTCCCCATCCCTTTACAATACAAAATAGATCCAGTGGTTCTTGCATGTTCTCACCTACAAATGCTTCAGGAACTCCAAAGGTTGTCAAGCCAGAAAGAAACGTTGGGAATGAGGTATGCAACAACTCAAGATTCATGTTATACAGAAGAGATTTTTTTCTCAGTACCTACAAAGTTGCATTTTCACTTTCAGTGCCAAGTAGCACAGGAAAAAAAAAGCATTCAATCATTGATGCACAAACAACTCCTAAAACATGATGAACAACTCCTAAAGCATGATGTGAGATGCATGGATTTTGAATACCCCAATTGTTAGAGAGGGAGAGGCAGTGAGATAAATAGCCACTCAAAACTTAAGTGTGATGCTTGGATCAGAACAGAGTAAATCTAATCCAATAAAAAGATCAGATATTTAGCAGATCACAAGAAAAATATTGATAAAACCTTTGATCTCATGAGGCAGATGACTAGATCAGTGTTGTATGGTTTTAATGTTTCATATCATCCAGTTGGCACTATTCATCTTTTGTTACTTATTTATCAACAACTGGCACTAGATGATGCTCATCATGATTGCATATTTGGCAGAATGCTACTAAAGTCTCAAGCGCCTTTGCTGGCACCAGAGAGAAATGTGTTGGATGCAGCAAGACAGTCTATCCAATTGAGAGGGTAAGATTCTATGTTCAACTATCTCAATCATTTGTCGGTAGTTTGAGTCGTCTTCGCTTGACAACCTGTCACTGAGTTCTCATTCAAGAATCACATAAATATAAAAAGGGCGTACCCAGTGCAGAGAGCTCCCGCTCTGTGCGGGGTCTGGGAAAGGGTGTCAATGGCAAGCCTTACCCTCGCCTATGCAATGCGAGGAGACCGCGACTCGAACCTGGGACCTTCCGGTCACAGGCGGTAAAACTCTACCGCTTGCACCAGGCCCGCCCTTCAAGAATCACATAAATATAAGAGACCCAAATAAAAATGTTACATCCATGAAGACAGCAATTGCTGCATTTCCATGTTGAAAGTTCAATTATTGATATTTTTGCCTGAAGTTCAATTATTGATATTTTTGCCTGAAGATAAGAAAAGGTGACAGGTATACCTTTTGAGAGTTAATTTGCATGAATATCAGTATGCTGATTGTAACTCACCGATTAATCATCCAGGTTACTGTCAACAACACTATGTATCACAAGAGCTGCTTCAAGTGCTGCCATGGAGGATGCACCATCAGCCCTTCTAACTACATTGCGCACGAGGGGAAGCTCTACTGCAAGCACCACCACATTCAGCTGATCAAAGAGAAGGGAAACTTCAGCCAGCTTGAGAATGATCACGAGAAGACGTCACAGGCTGGGTCACTGGAGGATGAAGAAGAGTATTAATCACTGAGCACAACCACAGATGAATAATTAATCTTCTTGCATTTTCTTAGAGCACTATATATTTCTGTGGCATGGTTCGATTTCAATTTTACCAATGGAGGTCATGTGCCTTCAGAGAACAATGATATTATTCTTGTATCTGCATGTAAACCTTATTATCTTTGAGTCAAAATATCTACCTGGTTTCACCAGTTTCATTGATCAGAAGATGCCTCTGCACCAAGAAGACACAGAACTGTAAGCTCTTGGTCCATCTTTTGTTTAAGATGATATTTGGCTAAAGGATGCATAACAATAGAAAAATAACGAATCCAAACAAAAAAAAGGAAAAACACAAACTCCAAACAAACTAGACCCTGTTTGGAATACGGGAACTTTTCCATGTTGCTACATTTTTCCTGTGAAATTAAACTCATCCCCTGTAAAGGCCCCTAACCTTTCAATGAAAATATCAGTAAACTGGCTGCTGGCACCTAACAACAGGACAAGGTACAGATACAAATCGAATTAACTATCAGTGCCAAATAGAGCATACAAGCTGTAAAGCAAATATTATTTTATGCCGGAAGGTAGAAAGAGCTTTCATGCAGGTGTAAAGCAAGTCAACAAGTCCATTATGACAATACAGAGCGTTGCATAATACCACATATCATATACAGTACTCAACAAGTGCAGCTTTTTTTATCAAAAAAAAAAAAACAAGTACAGCTTTTGTGTTTAATTACCTCATTGAACTCAAACTCGCCAACAATCGATTTGTAATGTTTCTGATGATATAACAAATTTATGCAAGAGAAAACATGCACAAATTGATTCCATATCAGGGAATCAAAAGGGGATACACCTTCGTTCAATCCTACCAATTCTGCCCCAAAATCTCATTGCCAGCCCAAAATACACAAGGTCATTCTGGATCCCAAAGAGGTTAGACCTGTCCCAAGAAAAAAATAAAGTGTGAGAGGATTTTCTAAGAGATGATGAATCATGACAGTCACTGCCCAGCCGCTGAGATCCCCAGGCACCAGCTTGAATATCCTGATACATTTTCTTCACTAGATGTCCCTTTGATCAACTAACATGACAATTTCCCACCCAACAACCATTTTTGTTTGTTTTCATGCAAGCAGGCCAGTAACACTTAATGTGATGGACATAATTGGACCACACATCAAAGTTGGAAATAATAATGGCAAAAGTAAGGAATTTGCCCATTTGTAGTACCAAATTAAAGCATGTTCTGGGACAATCATGACTACTAGTGTACAGAATGCAAGAAGAATGATACAGTACAGTGAAATATGCAACTAGATACCAGTGAAAAAGAAAAGGAAGATTCAGCGTAATGTGAAAGCCAGTCATATACTAAGAAGACGTAATGTAACACAATGCATTATTTAGAGTACCATCACACCACTCGGTAACCAAAAGAATTCAAGAATATTTAAATCAGTAACCCCAAGGGCACAGATATAAGGCCTTGATTAGATATTGTTATGCCTACAAATCTAGAAACAGATAAAGGAATCTGGCTCTTGGCTCTTCATTAGATCATTCTGAATCGTGCAGACAAATGATTAAACATGTATCACGTATGCACTTGACTTAAGCTGTTCTGAGCTGTATACAATACTATTGTTGCTTAACCAGTAGTTCCCAGATGAGTTTCAATTTATACAGGAGTATGGAAGTACCCTGTTCTACCAGTAAAGTAGCAATCATGACAAAGAATGGTCTTACTTTGCTCAACTAAGATGTATAACTGGTTATAAGCAAAAGTCACTGTCTTCAGGCTAACATTAGGCTGCCACAAGATTGTAGAAAATAGCTTTGGTAATCAGATCTCCACCTAATAATGCAGAAAAAGGCCTTATTAGAAAGAACATGCCAATGCATCAACGTACAAAGTATATAATAAATTAAAACCTAAACAGTTAAAATTACCACAGTACCACACAATGATGCATTACATTGGGTCCTAAGTTACAGCTTTTTATCAGGGAACCCAAATTACAGATCTAAATAATTTGAAGATCAGACAACACATTGCCGGGAAATTTAACAACAAAAATCTCAGTAATGGTTACACAGAAATAGATGCTGTTCAGGTAGCTTAAATTGATCGAGCAACTTACTAAACTTTCATGAGCACAAATTGAAGCATAGGACACAAGTAAACCAAGAACCAACCTCCTATAATGAAACAATTATTTTACAGAGACAAACATATAACAGCCTGTCACATGGGTGTAATTATGCTGAAATAATGCTACGGAACTAGTAGACTAGTACTAGTACTAATGTAGTATCATTACTAGTACAGCCCAAGTTAGCAAAATTATTTACATAAGGCTACAAAAACTTAAAACAGAACAAAGAGACAGGTGTAACTTTTCTACTCATACAGAATGACATCAGTAAATGACAACTGAACAAGCTTCCTATGATGGACAAGGACAATATATATGACAAGTTGGAAAGTCAAATAAACAGCTCTTTATTACTAGATTGTGAAGTTGGCAGCAAGGACATAAGAACGTACCAGCCCTCGTAAGTAACAGTTGCAATTTATTGGAATTCAATGAACAAATAGTAATATACATCGGTATTCTATCAACAAGTACATGCCCAAAGGAACCAAAGTTTAGTTTACAAGGGTATTCTAGCAACAGTTACGTGCCAGAAGGGACCCGTATTCAGTGACCTTATCATCAAGAGTACAACAATGGGAGGCAACATGCCTCACAACAACTATTGAATTTTCCTAAAAGTACTGTACAATGGGCTCACTGGCAAAAATTATGTGCCAGCAAGATCCAGATCTAACGTTAAGTATCAAGAATACAGCCAGCTGAGGAGACATGCCTCAGATCTATAATTGAATTACTGCCAATAAATCCAAAACCGAAGGTTCCATCCTCATATAGCCAAATTCTTCCCTCCACACTCCTTCCATCATCTAAGGGAGTCGAGAGATGAGGATTAACCACATCATAACTGGAATTGATGCACAATATCCTTGAGATAACCCTGTTCTCAGTGCCAGCATGGTTGGAAGTAACACCTTGGATATGATCGCGGCTGGTATAATCATCCAGCTCTTGCTCAGAGAATGGTGGATCAAGAAATGTAGTATCTGTCGTCCAAAAGACAGGAGAGTAGCCAGAGTTTTGGCTCCGTGTATCCCTAAATCGTCGACAAGTTACTCCACCAATGTTATCATAGGTGACAAGGTAAAATTCCAGAGTCCTATCCTCGCATATACCCTGTTTGGGAACATGGAAATTAACGTATTGTGCATGGCAAAGGTCAACTATTAAAAAGCTGGTATAAATCATACAACCAAGTACATAGTAATCCTCCAATTAAAAAAATGGTAACATCATTCTGTGTGTTGTGTGCATGCCAAATGATCAATTATACTTATACAACAGGAGAATAGTTTTCTGAAGAAACAGAAAAATGAATATTAAAAATAAAAAATGAAGTCATTCATCTTTGATTAGATAAAAATCAAAATTTATAACATTTCAATGAAAATGAACAAATTTTTTTGAGATCTCACATCTAGAAAATTACAATTGCTGCATGGTTACACGAATTAACCTGTACTTTTCAAACTCTAAAAATGACATTTTCTTTCTCTGAATCAGAGGTAAGATGCAAAATGCTAAACAAGATGGCATTAACTGCACAATATTGAAGGATTTCGTATGAGGATCATGATCAGTTAAACCACAACTAATTCACCCTAATAATATGCAGCTACAGGCACAGCTAATTCTATCCAGCCTCCCACAATGGTTTTCTCATAAAAAATATAGTTGATAACAACGTACCGGTATTGGTATCTGGAAAAGTTAACTGACAATTCCTCAGCTTCTAATAACAAAATAATCCAGAAAACCGTGATTATTGGACACATACAAATAGCATTTGCAACTAACCAATCATAGAGTTAGTTTCTGTGTACAGAAATGTTTTGGGATGATTGAATGGGATTTCTCAAAGCTTCTGAAGTATCAAGATCTGATGAAACTAAAACAAATCTTAGGGTTGTTTTGGGTACCCATTTGCATACTGCATTTCAGCACTAGCATGCTTCCTGCTGACATCAGGGTCAAGACTCAAGAGAGTCACAGTAAGGCTAAAGCACTAGTGCACTACAGTTCATGGCTCTTAATCAACAATGCCATAAGCCCATAACACTATGAGAATGAAGTTGCACAAGGGACTATGCAATGGCAGGCACCAAACCATGAAAGATACAGCTTTGCTTGCTGACAGAGAAAACTTGCCATTTGATTAACCCAATTGTGACATGGACTGGTAGTTCTGATCAATGTTCAAGAAGGCGCTAAGCGATATCTAGGCGATGACCCACGGCCTAGAGCCTAGGCGAGCCTAGGCTAGCCTAGGCGTTCCCAAGGCATTTTCTAGGCGATAGTATACACACACATATATGTTGAAAAAAGGAAAAGAAAACAGGAGATAAGTGGACTTCATTGAAGAGAAAGGCCCATAAAACAGTAAACGGCCCAAAGCCCAAGTCCCCCAACACCTTATCCCTTCCTCTTTCTCCTCTGCTCGGTCTCCCGCATGGCCACACACGCACAGCCGCCGCTTGGTTCCTCTCCCGCATCTCTCTCTCTCTCTCTCTCTCTCTCTCTCTCTCTCTCTCAGTCTCCTCTGGCCGGCGCGCCGCCCGCACGCGCACGAGACCGCCGTTCCTCCTCCCTCACCGGCGACCTCCGCCCACTGTCCGCCGGTCCTCCTCCCCCACCGGCAACCTCCGCCTGCCGTCCGCTGGTCCTCCTCCCCAACCGGCGACCTCCGCCCGCCGTCCGCCGGTCCTCCTCCCCCACCGGTGACCTCCACTCGTGGCGCGGCTTCCTCCCTCGTGCAATGCGGCTCTGGATCTGGGTGGACGCCGCCTATCCCTCCGCCTACCCCCATAGGCGAGGCGGCACCCCTCCGCCCAGCGCGTAAGCGCGCCTAGGCGA